AAACTGTCATTTTTGACAGTTCTAAAAAAGTATTGAATTTTAATTGGTTGGCAAGTACCGAATTGGAATTCCACCCCCTTCCTGGCGACAGATCTATCTGATATTTGGTACACACTCTTAATCTTGATGACCATACAATATAATTTAATTTTATGCACAACTACCGTCACTAATGCCGGAATATTGAAACGTTACTCAATTTTAAGTCGTGCTTAAATATCGTGCCATCTCTGTCATTGAAATGACAGAGATAGAACTATACTTAAGCACGACTTAAAATGGAGTAGCGTTTGAGTATTCCGACATGAGGATATCAAACGAAAGGGCTTGATGGTAGAATAGAGCTAATTGAAACCGCTTAATTTTTTTTTATATTACTGATTTTTTTTTAATTTTCTTACCAGTTGTGACAATTTTGCCTGCGACATATACGTTCTGAGTGATAAACCTATCATCCCGCCGCTCGGCGTTGCTCGCTTTGAAACTCGCTGAAGGTAATTTTTCATAATCTATTACGGAATATTTGTCCGGTGTGTTTATCAATGGAGGGTATATCGTTTTCCTATAAAATAATTTATATTTTTGTATTATGAGTCAAATTATGTTGTATGCAAAAGTAATAAATGTTGATTTAGTACTTAGACAGTAGCTATTGTTTTTTTTTTTAGCTATGAACAGATGAATCACCTGATGGTAAGCAATCTGTACGGCCCATGGACACCCTCAACACCAGAGGAGTTTCAAGTTGTCTTTTAAGGATTTGGGTAATTGGGGACTTAGATGAACGATTTAAATATTTAGAAATCGGGAAGAAGAATAGGACCTGTCATAATAGATTGTATGCTTTTCAAACAAATCATTGACTGCCTCGTTGGCCGAGTGGCCGCAAGTTCAAGTGCCGGGCAAGGGATCTCAGGTTCGATTCCCGGGTCGGGCAATTAAAAATGTTCAGTGTCAGCAGTAGCACGGATTCTGGCATTGTGTCCGGTATATGGCAATAGGCTCACCCCCTATTACATGGGACTCATAACATAAATAGTGAAAAGTGGGTGTTACATTGTACAGTGGCGTTAAGTGCGGTAATATGCATGTCTGCGTAGGCAGACGGGGGTAAAAGACGCGATGTTATGTGTTAAAAATGTCATATATCTGGTAACCATTGGTTGGTTCAGTACATAACCAATGGTTACTGTCTCTGTACTGAATCAATCTTTATTCTCTTACATGCATATTAAATAACTTGGCCAATGAAATGAGACATTTCAGACTTCAAAAACCTTATACTAATACTGACCTATACTCCTCTCGAATTTCATCAGACGATGACGAACTATATTCCCTAACTCGCTCAACAGATGGCGCTGTCTTTATAATAATGTTCTCAGGCGTATCACAAATAATTTCCGAACCTTTATACATCTTCCTTTTCGATTTAATGAAAACATCATCGTTCTCCGAATCAGTTTTGATACCAGATTCTCGCAATTCGCCGATCCGTTTTTGAGTAATCATCATTGGTGTCGAACTACGCCTTTTCGGAAAGGTCGATGACATGAATTTAAGGAAATTTTCTTCGATTAAACTCGTCGAAGGCAGTTTCTCTTTAGACCGGTCTAAGGTAGACATTTTTGGAAACTCCAAACACTTCAAAATAGGAGATTTTTTCAACTCAATCTTATACGGACTAGAAGCTAAGCTCTTACTCATCTGCTTTCTAATTTTTGGTTCTTTTTCGATCTTCATCGAAGACGTCGAAGTCGAATTGCGACCTATACCCGTCTCTTTCTTTTTCAAAAAGTCCAAAAACTTGCTATCTCTTTCCGGCGAGTCGCTAGAATCATGGTCTTTGGACAGCATCTCTATAGACTCCATAAATTGCGCCCATTTTGTTTTTCGCGTGTTCATTTTTTTAGGGACTTGATATGTGACTTTTCTGTCTATGGAATTATGTTTTTTTGGGGAGTAATCTGATATGGACATCAATGGAGAGCTGTGTGATGAGGGGTCTGATAACTTCAGCGCTATTTTTAGCGATACGTGCATAAGGAATTGAGGTATAGAATAAAATTAAAAAGTTAAAGTATTAAGGCATATTTGGACACATTTTGTAGCGAAAACAGGGTTCGAAAATATACGATAGTCTTGATAAATATAAAAAATCGTATATTTATGATATATATCAAGTTTGATATCCATTTTGTATTACCGTCATGGGTTATTTTTTAAAGTTAAGTATTTAAAATCACACAAATGAATCTAAAACACAAAATTTTCTCATAAACCCATTAAGATAGACAATATTGGCTATGTGCGCGACGATGGCGAAACGTAGCGTTTACAAATAATAACAATTTAAACAATATAATTTTCTTTGCAAATATAAATAAAACCAAAGATTAAAATAGTAATGTTGACATTATTTAAACTGTCAAACACCAAGAGGTCACCGGTGACCGCAACCTATTGTTCTATAATTGTGTCTACAAAACCGGTACTCGACGAGTTAAGTGAAATTTATTCAATAGTTTTACTGTAAAATGAAGATAATAATAAAAACTGGGTTGGCATCATCCGCATTTGTTTACTACCGCCACTACTCGCTTTGCACATAGCCAATAGTCAAATCGCCGTACAAAAAATGACTAATCTCGAAAGGCGTCCCCAGAGGTCTTACAGACGTTTGTCAATTCAGTGTTCTATGTGACGTTGTCAAGCACATAGCAGAATGACTCAGTGTCTAAATCAGACAAAATTGATATATATCACAAAAAGTGATATACATATGTATCGGATATATATTACGATATATATTATATCTATTCGAACCCTGATTGAAAATATGTCTAATTATCTATTAGAACGAACTTGTTTTACGTTTAGCAAGATCGAACTGTGACCGCGAAGCAGGCAACTGGGTACTTGCTTTAATCAAACATAAATTATATCGACTGTTCAATAGAGGTACAATAACATATAAAAAAAAACAATCACACTCTCATTAATTGATTTTATGACCAACTTAATTTTAGTATATTTCCAGCAAATATTTAAGAAATAACTATGCTGTTTGACGCTAAAAAAACGTGACGTCACAATACACAATCTCTTACAAAATTCATAGTAAACTGTCGTTTTTGACAGTTCGAAAAAAGTATTGAATTTGACTAGTTGGCAAGTACACAATTCAGAGCGCTGAACGCAGTAACATTTTGATGTCGTTAAACACAAAACAAATTCGAACTTAAGTCCCAATTCGGTTCATAGAAACTCCATCAAAGGTGCTGAATTATCCCCAATAGGGCAGTTGCCAGGGTATCAAAGTTAAAAATCGAATAAGTCCATCAGTTAGGTAATGAAAAAATAATAGACACGTATTTTTTATTTTGTCGTATAAACTTACAATACTTAGATAAAATCGCGTTAAATTTAGCAGTGGGAGGTCGTTACGTCACAACGTGCTACAAAATGTACCACGCTGTGACGTCACACGATATTTCAAATTAATATATCGTCGATAGTATTTAATTATGTGCGAAAAGAAAAAATACGTGTCTAATGTTTTACATTAATCTACCAGACGGACATTAAAATTAAAGTTTAGGAAACTACCCTATTGTTATTGGCAATGTGCTTAAATTATCAAAACACCCATAAATATGTATTACCTCGTTTGCAGTATGTATTTAATTACCTATATATGAGCTTAAACAGTAAAATTTCGATTATAAATGCCAATTCGTAGTATCAAAAAACAGTATGGATAAAATAAATACTTTATATTGCAGTGTAGATATTTCTTCGTTGAAGAATAATGTGTATTTTCCATATTTTCAGCATTATATAACTGTAGTTTCAGTTCACAGATTGTCTATAATGGGAGCTGTATACAATGTATTTGTTAAAACCGCTGTCAGATAATATAGTGCATGAATACGACCGATATCTATCTACAGGTTGACTTGTAACTCGACGTGTTCCTCTCGGGAGATGATAATACAACTAATTTGACTGCACGGTTGGTGCGATGGCTGGGCAACCGGCTGCCGTGCAACGTGTCGCGGGCTCGGTTCCCGCACGGAACAACACTTTGTGTGATCCACAAATTGTTGTTTCGGGTCTGGATGTCATTGCGTATGTGAACTTGTATGTTTGTAAACGCACCCACGACACAGGAGAAAATCCTAATGTGGGGCAACGCTTTTTAAGATATTATATATGTCGCAGAATCAACAAAGATGCACAACTATCGAGTATCGTTATTTTAGAACAACGCCATCTGTTATCATTTGTCGGAAACGTCAAGCAGTGTGCTTGGGTGATGGTCGGTACGGGGCGTGGCATGTTGGCATTTTGAAAGGCGTCACTTTTGGGTTGGACACGAGGGTGAGCGGTTGTTCGGCCAGCCCGTACCGAACTTACCGCGTTTCCGAAGGTAATCTGTTTCCATCGCTTTAAATTAAATAAGATTTTGTTAATTTATTATTGGGAATGTGTTAATAGACGATTATAATCAGTGTTGAGACTATCATTTCTTACCTACACCATGTCTAACTTGGAATCCGATGACGAAGCCACTTTCGGACTAGAGACCTCAGGGCTAATTTTGTAGGAAATTATTTATATAATCCACCTCCCGAGAGGAATACGTCATATATATATATATACTGTATATATATATATATAAATAAAAATGAATGTCCGTTGTTACTCTCGATAAACTCGAGAACGTGAGCGTATAATATAAAAATGAATCACTAAATATGTTTTAAGTGCAAATCTTGAAAACACCTGAACCGATTTCGATAATTCTTATTTTGTTGGATATTTTAATGTTAGGAAGCGGTTCTTATGTTAAAAAATATAATTTTAAGGCAATTGTAAGTTCACGAGGCCCGATAGTCTCAAATATAATTCAGATAGGATTATCTCAACACATTGTATAAGCTCACAGAACATGTATACATACAAAATCAAGATATATATATATAAAGTCGACTTACCGTGTTCATTAAAATGCTTCTCAAGGTCTTCATGCGAGAGATTTGTCTGAGTGGCTGGAGAATCCGCTGCAACCGTCTGCTCGGGACGGGAGCGGGAACATCTACAATATATTATAGATATTATAATATTGGTGGGTTGTAAGCAATCCCCAGGGGGTTAGACAAAATGGGGGTTATGGCAAACTCTGTCTTAAAAGTCTTTGTTCAGCGGTATAGGTATGGCATTTTTGTGACAGCTATAAAACTAGATATTAATGCCATCCTTACTAATATAAATTGGAAAGTGAATTTGTTTGTTTATTTGTTCTGCTTTCACGCCGTAACTACTAAACTGATTGCTTTGAATTTTTGCAGACGTAAAGTTAGAAGTCTGGATTAAATAATAGTATTTTTATTCCGGAAAAAAATTATATTCCCGAGGGAAAACAAAAGTATTGGTATAGATAGCGCTGTGTGTATTGGTATATGTCACATAGGCTACTTTTTATCCTGTTGTGACGCGAGCGAAGCCGCGGGTTAAAGCTAGTATTATTTAAACTGTCAAACACCAAGCAGTCACCGGTGACCGCAACCTATTGTTCTATAATTGTGTCTATAATGACGGTACTCGACGAGTTAAAGTAAATAATAGGGTAGTAGACAGGGTATGAATATTAAAAATGCAATTAGCCCGTCAGTTAGATAATGAAAAAATATTAGACACGTATTTTTTTATTTTGTCGTATTACAAAACAATACTTAGATAAAACTGAGTTAAGTTTAGTAGCCCCACTCCTACGGTCTTTACGTCACGCTACCCTATAAAATGTAGTAAATCATGACGTCAGACGATATTTCAAATCAATATATCGTCGAAAGTATTTAATTTTGTAAGAAAATAAGAAATATGTGTCTAATGATTTAAAATAATCTATCAGACGGATATTAAAATAAAATTTAAGAAACTACCTTATTACTATTATTTACCTGATTAGCATAAAATTAAAAAACTACACTTACATAAAACAAATTACTTAAAACGATGCCAGCGCCATCTACGCGATGCAGAAATTTTTAATTCAACAAATTATTAACACAACTACGTCAAGAGAAAATTTTAAGGTGACGATGTCATAACATAACATCACGCCTTTTATCCCCGAAGGCAGAGGTGCACATTATGCCACTGTACAATGTAAGGTGACGATGAATGAATTTAAAATGATTTTACGTTGAACAGATGGCGCTGGTGAAGTTTTACATCACTTGTTTATTTTACAGCCGATGGATTATGCTTATTAGAGTCGAAATGGATACAATTTCTATAGCATTGTATGATTTTTTTTAATAAATAATCCTATGAGCGGTTCCTAAAACACACGAAAAGAGTAGCAGTGTCAAATATATAAATATACTAGCTGTTACCCGCAACTTCGTTCGCGTGAAATTATTCATATTTCTTGTTAATTTATACATTTTTGACACGACTACGTGTTGATGGCGAGGGGTATTTGGCGACTGCGGTTTGTTTGTCAGTGTCATTAAAATGAATTAATAAAACGAAATAATCTCCGTAATCTGAATTTTGCGGATATAAGTTGTCGACACGAAATCGATATTTTTTTTTTGTTTTGTTATTCAGGTAATGTTTCGATCAAGTCTAACGTACCCCTTGACGAGTCGCGGAGAACCTAACGGGTAACCGGGGCTCCGGCTCGACGTGCAGGAGAAGGAACGGGGTGGTTTTTAGTCAGTAAGAGTCTGACACTCCCTACCGCCTCACCTAGGCGGGAGCAGTCATTCGATTTTCCCCCCTTAAAAAAACCCCTTGACGAAATTATTAATATATATACCTGAGCATAGCATTGCTGCATCGTAGTGCCAGTTCCAGCCCGTCGAGCCAGCAATGGCCGGCAGCTTGTGATGGGGCGCGGAATATTAGATGAGCAGTCGGGAGAGGCTGTACTACCGCTCCTACAGAGAAATATTAAATTCGTATTAAAATCTAAAAACACACTATAACTTGTGGGCGAGTCATGCTTCAGTATGAATGGGAGGACTCGACGGGAGTGATTTTCTTTATGGTATAAGTCGGCAAACGAGCAGACGGATCACCTGATGGTAAGCAATCTGCATCGACATAGACACCTAGAACACCAGAGGCGTTATAGGTACGTTACCGGCTTTTTGGGGATTAGGAATTTGAGGATTGTTGGGGATTCAGAGATTGGGGAGATTGGGGATGGGGGGGGGGGATTCGGTTCTCTGTGAGGTTTTGGACTCGAGTGAGGTTATTGGAGGCCTAATGTCCTCCACCAATTTCCAATCCTCCAATTTCTAATCAATCCCTAAATGACCACAACGCACATGTGTCTCCTTTAGTTTTCCAGGTGTCCATGGGCAACGCCGATTGCTTACCATCATGTGATCCGTCTGCTCGTTTACTGTACCACAAAAAAGTATCGTTCTTACCTATTTGTTTTTATGTATTCATGTATGTAATGTACTAGCTGTTGCCAGCGGCTTCGCCTTTACATGTGTGAGTCAGTGAGAGTAATAGTGAAGTGAGTGAGAATGAGAGTTGATGTGGATGGGAGTGAGAGGGAAGTGAGTGAGTGAGTGAGTATGAAGTGAGTGAGTGAGTGATTCATGAATTCATGAATTCACTCACTCATTCAGTCACTTCACCCACTCACTCATTTCTCTATCACATGAATTCATGAATCACTCACTCACTTCATGAAGTAAGAGAGTGAGTGAGTGAGTGAAGTGACTGAATGAGTGAGTGAGTGAAGTGACTGAATGAGTAAGTGTGTGATACTAACCGATGGTCTCGTTATGTGGTCCCCGCGGCGCCCAGATGCTCTGCTCGAGCGGATGGTACAGTTTGAAACAGAAGCCGTCCTTCTTACTCGGCCGCTCTATTACTTGGCACGACGTTAATAGCACTGTGCCTACCCAGTGGCTGCTCTGTGGACGAAAAATTAAAAAAAAGGTAACGTTAAATATCAAATCGAGTTTAGTAGTAAAGTGTATGTGAACTTGTATATTTATAAACGCACCCACGACAAATACAGGAGAAAATCCTAGAGTGGGGCAATGTTTTAAAATAATCCTTACTAATATTATAAATCGGAAAGTGAGTTAGTTTGTTTGTTTGTTCCGCTTTCACGCCGTAACTACTAAACCGATTGCTTTGAATTTTTGCAGACGTAAAGTTAGAAGTCTGGATTAAATAATAGGATACTTTTTATTCCGGAAAAAATTGATATCGTCGAAGATAAACAAAATCATTGGTATAGATGGCGCTGTGTGTATATGTCACATAGGCTACTTTTTATCCTTTTGTGACGCGAGCGAAGCCGCGGGTAAAAGCCAGTTTACAATAAACTACGTTAAATATACAAATCGCATTTCTTGGGACTGGAAATGTTTTCGCTTTCAAAACATAGATTTAGAAAGCAGGCCATGGAGCTTTCTGACTGCTGGGTTGCTGCAGTAACGGTTGGTTTTTTTTTAGTTATTCTTTTTTTTTAAATTATAAGTACAATGGTTTTCGTTGTATCTTTTTATGTGTTATTTATATTTAGTAAACCTTAAACTGTCAAACACCAAGCGGTCACCGGTGATCGCAACCTATTGTTCTATAATTGTGTCTATAATGACGGTACTCTAAACTGTCAAACACCAAGCGGTCACCGGTGACCGCAACCTATTGTTCTTTAATTGTGTCTGTAATGACGGTACTCAACGAGTTAAAACTTACGATAACACTACCGTAACACGGTCGTTATTGCCGTTATACTTGATACTAAATGGGCAATGGTGTGGGTTACATATTCATTGTAGCTGTTGTTTAGTGTAAAACTTTTTATGTAACTCTTTTCTGTCCCTTAACTCGTCGAGTACCGTCATTATAGACACAATTAAAGAACAATAGGTTGCGGTCACCGGTGGTTAAATAAATAAATTAAAAATATCGACTTCAACCTTGATTCTACAGTCAGTTAATTCGTTAAAACCTGAGGCCTTAGTACGAGTTTCATTTACGTTTAAAGTATTCGTAACGAGTACGCATTCGGCACTCTGATTGGCTGGCGCCAATGAACCAACCAATCAGAGCACCGAACGCGTACTCGTTACGATTACTTTAAACGTAAAACAAACTCATACTAAGGCCTCTGTTCCAAAGTGTAACAAACACTTTTCTGGAAACCGCATCGAATTAGGTTCTACCAATCGCGAAATAATCACGAATAAAAAACTCAGTATCTATTTCTGAAGTCGTATAAATACAAAAAGAAAGAAAAGAATATAATTATTGTACTAAAATTTATATCCGTTCAGTAGTTTTGGCGTGGCACAGTGTCAAACAGACATACATAGGTACATCATTACAAACTATCACATTTATAAAATAAGGACGAAGAAATATCAAGTAAAAATGCTTACCTTAGCTTTAGGACTCTTATAAAGCAGCAATAATCCAGGTTTCAGTACACACCATAACTTTGTCCAAGACTTTAACGATCCACGAACCTGAAAGGAAGAAATAACACGCTTTTAATTTCAATGTCTACAGGAAATGCCAGGGTAGAGGGTCTGCCGTCCACAGGATATGTCAGGGTAGAGGGTCACCATCGCCATAATTATATGGCGACCCGTCCCAAACCAGGAGTAGGAAAGGGGTGGACTTTAGTCAGTAAGAGTAACTCTCTCTTTCGCTTCACTAAAGACAAGACATTTGATGATTTTCTATTTAAAAAAAGGGTTATGAAAAGGGGCCATGTACAATTAATATTTTTATAAATTTATTTAAAATTCTTAATAAAATGTATTTCTAAATACTACTAGATAAAATAAAATATATTTAAAAATATAAAAAATAGGTACAAGCTTCTAATATTATAATTATGGTACGACAAGTATGTTTATAAAGTAATTACGCTTTGTCTATTCAACTAAATAAATAAATACACTTTAAAAAAAAGTGAATAAAAAAGGACGAAAAGAAACGAAAACCTATGTACCTCGTTTTTATATATGTATTGTCCTTTGGGTTGTATGAGTGTACATAAATAATAAATAAATAAATAAAAGATACCCCCAATTAGAGGTCAAAGTACTCGTCCACATTATTGTCAGTCGGGAACGTTCCCAGAAGACTGGCAGCATTGCCTCGTTGAACGGCAATCCCAAATAGCCAGCCCAACTTTTATTTACAAATTTTATATTCATACAATTAGGAGTACAAAAGCTTGAGCTGACGCTGCTATCTTCTGGTCTCTCCTGTAGAACTGTCTACAGAAAGAAACTCACCTTCAGCCAATCAGCTAGTACAACGACCGAGGAATCCTCAATATAATGGATTTGAGCTAACGCTGCTATCTTCTGCATTCTCCTGCAGAACTGTCTACAGAAAGGAACTCACCTTCAGCCAATCAGCTAGTACAACGACCGAGGGATCCTCGATGGAATGGAGTAGAGCTGACGCTGCTCTCTTCTTCTCTCTTCTGTAGTGTTGTCTCTGTGCTTTGTAACTCTCCTTGCGAGAGAGTGCCGTACTTGCCGGCCGTGTTACGCCGCCCACTGCTGTTTCTGACGACTGTAAGAAAAAGTTCATTAAACATACAGCATATTTAAAAGCAATTGACACAAAAATATTTCTTATGAACACTAGCGCCCATTGCATCCGTATTGCGTGGATATTGAATGAACTAAATGGTATTGAATTTGGCTTTATATTCCGTACTCTGAATGCTATTTTAACAGCTACGGTAGGGGTTGTATAGTGTTGACATTGAATAATGATTGAGATTCTTGGGATTATAATTAAATTGACATTGGAGATTGGTTTCAAGTGTAAGCATCCTACATTCCGCAGATGCTTAATTTTGATAATAAGATATAATAGTCTGTAATGACAAATGTAATATGTACACACGGCGACACTTCAATCTATACAAAACCAGTTTATCCTGGTGTCGCGTCGCATCATCTTTCCGCACATTTAACGTTCAGTTTATACTGGTTATGTAAACCTCGATGTGTAGCCGTATGTACATACATATATCTATCTATATAAATAAAAAATAATTTCTGTTCGCTAAAACTCGAGACCGGCTAGGCTTTATGCGGTACTAAGTATGCCGTGTCAGCTAGTAAATAAATAAATAAATCATTCTTAGTCCAAATACTGATACATTACACTTCCCCGAGCGGGATAGCTATATTTTGCTATACTTTACAATGTAAAACTACTATTTAATTTTGTTATCATCACAATGGGAGTCGGCCTTTCACCCAGCCTCCGTTATCTGAGCGCTATCTATTCCGGACCGGCTTCCGTTCCGGCGCCAGCGACAGATGAACAAAATATTATATTTTGTAATATTGTAAAAAAAAATTTTAATGTTAAAAAAAACATTTCTGTCTGTAATATTATATTCTTTTTTTAAACACCTAACTAAGGATGGCAAACGAGCAAACAGATTTGATTGACTTTGACTTTGACATCTGATGGTAAGCAATCGGGCCGCCTATGGACACCTGGAACACTTGCCATCAGGTGATCCGTCTGCTCGTTTACCGGCTTATGCCATAAAAAACCCAGACACAGTTACACAGAAAAATAAACACTCTTTTCCATTAAAATTTATAGTGAAACAAGTGAATTTATTTCTGCAAATAGGTTACAAGGCAGCACTTTTACAAGTCAATTGTATCAAGCGAACGATGAGGCCGACATTTCCTAACTGACTACTCTGAGAAGAAATGTCGAAACAAACTCAGAGGTCTGTCTCTTTTAAAGTCCAGACTAATATGTATAAATTATATATATATTATTATATTATGTATGTGAACCGTGCAAGTTCTTTCTGTAGTGGCCTTTTGAGGAAAGAACCACAACAGTTTGAGCGGACCCGTTCTGAAGGCAGTACGCATGTGTCAGTTTACAATCAGCTCAATTAACAGGTGAGGCTGACTGATTCGACGAACAATACTAACCTAAAGAACATTTGCGTGGGTCGCACAAATACTCAAACTGTCAGAATATGGGTAATTAGAAAAGAAATGGCGAGGCAAAATCTCGTACGGTCCTAGCACTAACAATTGTAAAATAAATCTAGTCAAGTATTAAAAAATATTAATTAGTGAATTCGATTTTAAACCTGTTTCCGTATTGATTTCCAAGAAATAAGTCTGTATTTATAATAACGTCATAATCGTGAGACATACTAAATTGCCAAAAAATCGCGGGTTACTCACGTGAAAACACTGAGAAAAGCTCTACTAGTTTCGAGCAACAGAGGGGCTTCCACATGAGCAGCGTGCGGGGTCACGGCACCTCGTAACTAGTAGAGTATTTCTCAATATTTCCACGAGAGTAACCTGCATTGAGCAAGCGTGGTGATTAACGCTCTAACCTTCTCCGTGTGAGAAGAGGCTTTGCTCAGCAGTGGGCATTTATAGGCTGTTGATGATGATGAACCCGCGATTATCCTTACTATCCTTACTAATATTATAAATTGGAAAGTGAGTTTGTTTGTTTGTTCCGCTTTCACGCCGTAACTACTAAACTGATTGCTTTGAATTTTTGCAGACGTAAAGTTAGAAGTCTGGATAAAACAAAAGTATTGGTATAGATGGCGCTGTGTGTATATGTCACATAGGCTACTTTTTATCCTTATGTGACGCAAGCGAAGCCGTGGGTAAAAGCTAGTTAGTTAATAAGTATGCATTTTGATGCAAAAATATTAGGTATGACGTCAAGAGTTAATATTTCATATCTAGTTTTTGACATTTCTAAAAGTTTTGAATTTGGCGATCCGTCTGCTCGTTTGTCCCCTTATCTCATAAAAAAATAAGATCCTTTTTCAATTGATAAATAATATCAATTTTAATCCTTGTGCATTAAATTTACCGAGGGAAGTGGAAACTATTCAATTTTTTCTTCTCCAATAATATATTGCGGGATCCAAGACTGAGTTATGTCCCTGGGGCGCGGCGGACTCCGACCAGTATTCCGGTGTTTGCATGACTGTATCTACTGCAGATCCTGCAGCTGTAGCCAAATGCCATTTAGCGCTTGTCTACATGTAGAAGAGAAAACAAAATTATATGGAATTGACGTAAATTTTGACACTTGTCAGTGTCACCCCCATACATTTAGTTTTCTACTCTCTCTGTAGACAAGCGCTAAAGTAATATTTGGCTAAAGGCACTGGTGTACAGGAATTGCAGCGGTTTTGGGAAGTTGTGGCGAGCATGTCCCAATAAAAAATTGATCTTACCTTATCAGAGGAGGTTCCGTCAGGTGGATGGGACCGTGCGTCCCCCGACGCGGATGCTGGACTGGCAACCGCTGGCACCCCGGGAGATCTTGGTGGTGGCGTCAACGTGGCCTCACCTGGAATTGGAAAAAATATGGCTGAGTAACTCATTTTATGTAATATACATCGGCATTTTAAATAAATATACTTCCTGTCTGTTTGCTTGCAATAAACTCAAGAACTCCTAGATGACACACACATCACGCCTTTTATCCCCAAAGGGATAGGCAGAGGTGCACATTACGGCACTTAATGCCACTGTACAATGTAACACCCACTTATCACTATTTATGTTATAAGTCCCATGTAATAGGAGGTGAGCCTATTGCCATATACCGGGCACAATTCCAGCCTCCGTGCTACTACTGAAAAATTTCAAAAATCCAGTAATAATTTGCCCGACCCGAGAACAATTGACCGGCAGTCGCACTTGCGACCACTTGGCCAACGAGGCAGTTAACTACTAGATTAATTTTAATGCAATTAGATAGATTAAAGATTCGTGATGACCATGGCCTGTTATGGTGTATGTATAATTAAAGCTATGGGTAGAAAGCTAAATAAAAAAAAAACTGTTCTCCATTTAAACTACAAGACATAAGTTTTTTTTTTTCAGATTTATATTATAAAATAATAATAGTAGGGGAGCCCACGATGCTAAATTGGGATTTACTTGAGCGTCCTTGGGACCTACTGTATTTTGAAGATATGCTGATAGAAAGAAGAAATGGTTTAGTGGCAATTTCTTCCACCACTGGGGGAAGGGGGAATCTACAGATCTTTGAAATTGTTAAGCGTAACTTTTGTTCTAGTGGTCGAGCGTGTCAGATATTGATAATGTACATGCTCCAACTCCATGTGCATTTAATAATAAAAAACTCTTAATCTGCCAGTTTGCATGGTGGCGTTGAATGTTCTGGAGAGTACAAACGAGAACCCTTCAAAATCCCCCCACTCTTACAAATCAAGTTGGAATGGGCAGATTTTTTAAACGCACTTCCTTTAGCACGGTATTGACCTACCTTCCCTTAACCTGACGAAACTGACTTTATTTAATCAGACTTTTTTTTTTAATTTTCCGTCCCCCCCTTCTAATCACATCGGGTATATTCAACATGACACTAGGTTTTCCCCATATATTAATCTGACGCGCTCGAGTAACTACCGAAATCCCTTCATGGGCTCCCCTACTATAAATAATAACTGCATCGTTGGCCGAGTGGTCGCAAGTGCGACTACCGGGCAAGGGGTCTCAGGTTCGAATCCCGGATCGGGCAAAGTATTACTGGGTTTTTAAAAATCTCAGTAGTAGCACGGAGTCTGCAAATGTGCCCGGTATATGGCAATAGGCTCACCCCTATTACATGGGACTCGTAACATAAATAGTGAAAAGTGGGTGTTACATTGTACAGTGGCATTAAGTGCCGTAATGTGCACCTCTGCCTACCCCTTCGGGGATAAAAAGGCGTGATGTTATGTTATGTTATGTTAT